ATTATAGTATAGATTAAAAATTAAAAAAAAAAACGTAAAAGATATAATAGAAAAATATATAAAAAGATGAAGGGTTAAAACTAAAAATATCAAGGGTTAAAATTGAAAAATAAAATAAAATTATTTTAATGTATTTTAGTGTTTTAAGTAGGTGGGGGTATAGAAAATCTAGGGAAAAAAAGATAGGAGTGGGTGAGGATAGAAAATCTCATAATAAAATATAACATTAAAATCGAGATGTTGTCTCGTTGTATTAGACAAGTACTATTTTAATAATTATTAGAGGAAGAAATAATAAGAGTAGGTGAGGGAGGGGGCACCTTTACATCATAAAGGGTTTAATTCGGTGTTCACCCAAAAAAAGGCATCAAGAAAGGGTCAAAGGGTCTTCTTTCCATTCTTTTTAGGTAAATAGGTAAATTCCCATCAAATCATATAAATGATAACTTGTATAAAAAGTTAATATATTTTTACTTAAAAAATGTTTATTTTAATATTTGTTGATAAGTTTAGTGTGTAATTGAATTTATAAAAGAATGATTGGATTATCAGTTAAAGTAGAGTTAGTAGGTGCGAAGTGCACACTCAAACAAGTCAGTTGGAACCCAAAATCGTTAAATAGCGGAGTTAAAGGGGTCATGCCTCCTTATGGGATCCTAGAAACAAAAAAACGAGATTCAAGAGAACAAACGCTAACGATCTTAGTGTCAGGTGGTGTAGAGCGGTTATTTGTTAATGTCTTTGTAACAATGATAAATGTTGCTTTTTAATGTACGAACCCTTTAATTACGATTTTCTATCAAAAGTGAGATTGCAGATTTGAGATTATTCCTGAGTAAATGTTTATGTTGTGATACACAGACAAATTTGAGTCGAAATATTACTCAAGAAAAACAAGCTCTCACATTATCTCAAGTTTTATCGAAATCATTATACATTGTTTCTCACCAGAACCAACAAAAATTCTCAAAGCTAACGTATGAAATTTGACATGTTTTTTTATAAATATGCAAAATAACTCTCTTTCAAACTTTAAATCTTTAAATAGACATTTTCAATCTATATATAATTTAAAAACTCGTTTCTAAAATAAGAATTAATATATATATATATATATATATATATTATTTGTCTACAACTACCCTTAAAGTTATGCATGGACAAATATTACAGACCTTATTTTCTGAAATAATTTTTTTTTGAAAATAAAAATAAAAATAAATCTCAAATATATTTTAATGATTGACGTGAAAAATGTAATAAATAGAAATATAAGCTCTAAAATATAAATCATAAATGAAATGAATTTTTATCTTTGCTTGTATTTTTAAAACCATGGTACAATTTATCTTTATGGCATTAATTGTGCAAGATATCTTATGAGTTGTTTGTTTATCTCTTAATAGTTTCATTAAGAGACAACATCTGAATCGTTAAGAGGTGAATTTTGTTTGGCAAAAAAAATCTGTCTCTTAATGATTCTAAAACCCTTTGAATGATTTTGTATCATGGATTTCTCTTAACCATTAAGAGTCCTAATTTCATTGTACACAATTACCAAACAATTATATTTCATTTTGCATTATATCATGAAAGCCTCTTAATCATTCTGCAATTGCCAAACAGCCCCTTAGAAACATTCCCTTCAAACAATTTCAAATCATTTGGTTTCATTTTCTAATGATTTTTTTTTTGTATTTATTAAAATAAACGGTACTTTCATCAACTAAATTCGCTAATCAACGAATTTATGATTTTGTCTAAAAATAGGTTTCACATATCAAAAAGTCAATACATCATGCATTTAGTCAAATTCTTATGCATTTCACCAAAACCAGGGTTTTTGATGAAATACCAATGATTTATTTATTGAATTTTTATAACTTGTGAGACCCGTTTTATGATGAAATCATAAATTGGTTAGAGAAAGTATCGTCTATTCTGGTAAATATATAAAAAAAAGTGGTTATCTTTTAATTTTTGTATATATTTTGGTCATTTATGTGATCTTCCCGTTTTATTTTAGATGTACTGATCATAGAGTAAGAACATTTCCAACAAATTGAGAAAATGAAGGTTTTATTTTTCTATTCTCTTTTGAGGCATTGTTTGGCAAAAATAAGCTAGCTTATAAGCAAATTTATTTTCTGGGTATATGTTTAAATACACATAAACTAGTTTATTGAAATACTACTTGGAATAACATTTTGATAAATATTGTGATTTTTTTTCCAATTATAACTCTCATTAATATTACTTATTATTTATTACTATTAATTATAAATAAATACTAATTAAATCTAAGTATGACTAATA